CAAGACATATTTTGGGTGATCTGATGAAGGATCTTGCATTCCAAGGCTTGTCTAACTTTGTTCCAACTGTGCAGTTAGTCCAATAAAAGGTATTGCCCATCCCAAATTTGTTCCCTGTCATATAATTCCTGGACCATTGTGGCTACAACATAACCCTAATGCTACCAATAAATATTAATATAATTGGCATTGACAGCTCTCATGACAGAACCAAAACTGGTCGTTAGCTTTGGTGGTTAGTTCTCTGTAGCTAACAGACATCTGCAACTTTTAGTGTTTTCACTTAGCTTGCTATTTTGATCATCAGGTTTCCTTGAAAAAGTAAAATTTTAGCTCACTTGATTCCAAAGAAAAGTTCAAAATCTGAGATGTGGGACCTAGAACATCAAAAACCTGAAGCCCCCCCCCGGTCACCAAAGATGCTTTATTTATTTGCTATAAATAACTAGTTTTAAAGTCAAATTCATACTTTTTATGGAATGGAATTGTGATTTTTGGTGCTTTGAGGTTAGTGATCGGGGTGGTGCCAACCTCTTACTGGTGTGGGGGCTGGGCTGGGGCTGGTCTCAGCTGGTTTAGGAGGCTCCACCCCTCCCAGTGCCACTGCCACAACCCACCCGCCTCTGCTCCCGCCTGCTCTGCACCCAGCTTCCCCACCAGGAAAAGGCTGGCACGGCCCAAGCCGGGAGCACCACACCTTTGCAGTCTCACCTGCATATGGTGGGTGGGCAGCAGGGACAGTGCTCGGAGGGGTGGCTATGGGAGGGACTAAGGAGAACTTTGGGGTGGCAATACCTCCCCCAAGCTTCTCCTAGCACCACCCTTGTTAGTGATACTGGGTGGCTAACAAAGATCTAAATAGCTAGATACAATTTGGCAATGATTAAGGTAGAAAATGATAACAATGGCAACCAAAATTAAGGTCCCCACTTCCTAAGAGGCGGAACATGCTAAACAGAAAAGTTACATCTCTACATTACCACCCAGGGTTTCCCCTTCGCAGCTGAAGCAGGAATTTTTGCAAGGGTTTTTTCTTCTCTTCTATTTACATTCTCTGCTTGCCTAATTATACAAAGTACCCATCAGTTTACAATGCTAGATACATATTATACAGTTTCTTATGAAGTGTATTTGTTATGCAAATTGTTGTATTTCATTATGTTGGCTGTTTATACTTATTATCATAGGAAAGAAAGGTCCTTGTGTCTTTTTACCAAATTTAAATCCCTAAAAAGGCTGTTTTTCGGTGGGTGTGAAAACACAGTATGTAGATGTGTCCAAGATAAAAATGGAATCGCTGATAGAGAATTCTTACATCTAATGCTGTATTTGGAATTGGTTTATCACCATGTAAATCTGCTTGTTGTGTTAATTGGACAGAAAATGGATATGATGTGACATGACCAGTATCATTTTGCCTGCATGATTCGGAGCTTGATAGAAAAATTGTTGGTGAGCGATGGAGAAAAGGACCTGCAATTTTGGAAGGGAATGGAGAAAATGGAAAAATATTTATGTAAGTGCAATTATTCTTGTTGCCACTGCCAATTGGACGTGTAATGGAGATTTTCCCAATTTAATTGTGTTTTTTATAAAATGTATATCTAGATAATAATCACCCCAGTGTATCCCAATGGTGGTGCTTTTGTGGCGGGGCATCTTCCAAAATATATCCTTATGGATGTCTTCTTCAATGCCAGAGACCAAAATATCCTTTTTAGACTCTCTTAACAACACTTGGGCCCTTTTATCCAGGGTCCACAGAAGAGGAAGTCAGCTGCTGTAGATTCATTAAAAAAAAAAGGGGGGGTTAGACACGTAGGGCCAGAGTCTTACAGACATTCAGGTGCCTAAAGAAAGCCAACAGGCACTTAAGGCTCTCATTTGTTATGGGGGGTTAGATATCTAAGCATCTAATCCCACTAGACGTCTCGCCACATATGTAGACACCTACACAGTTTTAAAATCTGACCCTTAATCCTTCTGTGCTAGAATTCCCCCATTTATAAAATTTTCTTAGACACAAGTAATATATAATCCTACATAACTCATGCACGTGCAAAATGTTAATCACTTAAATAATTGGATTGTGAGCAGGTACTGTCTTTTTGTTAAGTGTGTGTACGGTAAAATGTATTCCAACTCCTCAACACAAAATAAATAATTAGTAACAATAAATCCCTTGAGGGCCCGGATTCTTTTACCATTTGCACAGTTGTAGCTAATAGCAAAATTGCCCTGGGCTCTCCCATTGGTCTTAGCTCTGTGTTTAAATTTATTGCTTTAGGAAAGTTTTGTTATGCAGCCTGGCTGCCTTGTACAACAGTAATGATGGCAGTAACATTTGACATGTAGCAGCATTTGTTGTTAGAAAGAATGGGAGAGTGGGGCTCTATTTCTTTAAGCAGTATATGTTTAAATGAAGAAATACAACTGAATTGGGATTGCAAATTTAACAGTGTCTTGTTGGAGTTTATTATTAATGTTGATTAGTTTTGTGGTTTTAGTTTTTCAAGTGTGTCACTGAGTGATAAGAAACGGGCACGGATGTGATTTGATTAGGGCCAATATGCAAGTCCGAGGGGAGGAGGACCGTGCTAAGAGGGGAAGATGGAGGTCGGTTTTGCTTGGTATTATCTAATCACCAAATAATTTCTTTGGTATCATTTTACAGACAGCCAATACGAGTTGCATAATTTAAAGCAGTTGTCTTCCTCCAGGGGTTGTTTTCGATTACGTGATGATATTTTTCCAGCTGATTTACACATTTTTAGTTAAGAACAGGAGTGGACCGTATTGTTTGGATTGGGAAGTAGTGCTTCCTCTCAGTGAAACACCTGGTTTGCAATTATCAATATGAGATATTGGGTCGTTAAAGGAGGCCAACATATTTTGGAAAAAAACATGTAATTTTTCACTTTTGGACTAATCTCTAATTGATTCATATTGAGTTGAATTCCACTATAACTGAATGTTGAGGTGGTAAAGATTTTAAGTAAAAAAATGCCACCTGTTTTTGAGACCCAGTTCTATAAATGCTAGTATATAGAGGTGATCTCAGGGGGTTCATTAGAGATACTTAGATGAATGAATTTACTTATGTGCATAAGTATTTCCAGGTTTGGAGCTTTGGTTTCCAGCTGTAAGTCAAATATCAAAAGGCTTTGCAAGATAACCTGGTTTTTATTTCATTATTTTGTAGGCTCAGCTTGTTTGGGTGGGGTGTGGGATGGACTTCTGAACTTTGGGATGCTTCTCCAGACTGAAATGTGGAAACGTTTGAGGTTTGTACTTTCATAAATGCATCTACAGTTATTCCACTGGCTGGAGACAAAAAAGGAACTGGTAAACAGTATAGTATTTTGTCTAGCTGAT